AGTCTGCTCCAGGGAACAAGCGCTTCCCACCTGAGGCAACCCAATCCTTGAAGCAGGTCTGACTGTCCTGTGGGCCCAGTCCTTCCTTTGGGGCCATACACTTCCACCCTCTGATGCACGTACTTTCCTGTAAGCCTGGATATCCTCCCTGCAGAGCCGGGTGCCACCTTCATAAAGGGAAGAAATGAATGCAAGTTACCTCCACCCCTTGTGTTTTCCTTCAAGTGCTTGAGAGAAGACCTGGCCTTGCTTCTACACATGGGAGATGTGGGGCACTGGACAGGATGATACCTGGCTAGTGGGATCCTGGGCACAGTATAAATCCATATACCCGAAGGTGATTTCGCCCAAAGCTCGGGGAGTTCAATTTAAGGACAGAATCTGGTTCTTGGCAAAACTGGTAAGCCAGGGTACCCCTTGTTTGTAGAACTACAGAGCAATGTCTAGGCATGGGCAGAGATCACCCTGGGTGTTCCTAGAGGCAGAGAACATGTTGCTGAAATCTCATGCTGAAAAAGTCCAACAACTTCCCATTGGTAGCTTCTTCTAGAGCCCTAGGGGTCACCCCCACAGGGGCCTTCCTCTACCTAGAGCTGCTCCCTGCAGCCCAAGGACCCATCCCCCTCTGCACACCCATCCCTTTGGCTGCTGCAGCAGCACCACCACCCATCACTTCTGTCTCCAGCACCTGCGCAGGGCTGCCTGCATGTTCATTTTAACTACCTCCACCTCGGGAAGAATGCTGAGGGGGGAGAAGATTTGCAGTGACCAAACTGCCTGTGGGGAGGCCAGCATACCCATCTTTCCTACAGCGTCAACCTGAATGATTCCTAGTGAAGACAGAAGGCAGGGGCAGCAGCTACCCACCAGTTGTTGCTGCCTCCCAGTTACAGGGCCAGGGTTAATGACAGCCAGCGCTTGCCACACAGGTGTGGACAAGGTAACCAAAAACCAATCAACTTAGGGGAGGAGTGTCCTGGCACCCCATAAAAACTTGGCAATACAGAGTTTTGGGTTTTTTGTTTTTTGGTTTTTTAATTTATACAAGTCAAATGCAGAGCAATTTCCTGCACTTTATATGCAGGTATCAGAATGAGGTATATAAAACATGTACACAGAGAAATGCTTTTATAGAAAAGTAGAAACCAGTAATGTACTGTTCTTCAGTATCACTAACACCAGGGGACCCATGAGGCCTAGGTCCCCTCAGCAAACCACTCCCAGGAATAGTCTGCTGAAGAGAATGGGCCCTACTGACCCCCCTCTCCCATGTGGGACAGTGGAAGGGCTTTGGGAAGGAAGCTCTGGATAGGGAGCACTGCTAAGGCCTCCAAGTGTGACATCAGGGCTTGGAGGCCCTGCTGAGCCATTAGCTCAGTGTGTCACAGTGCTGTGGAGAAATGTTACTCTCCTCTTGGCCATGCCAGTAGCTTGCTGTATGACCTTGGGCATCACTTTCCCCCTGTGGGCCCCTGTGTCCAAAAGGCTTGAGGAACCCTAAGGTCCCTTCCAATGGTTGATTGTTTTACAAGTTAGGGGTGCACTGGCCTGGAGGCCACAGAGCCACCTGCAAACTCAAGCCCTGAAGCACTTTATTACCTTGACTCTGAGCTTAGTTTCTGAGTTAACCTCTCAGAAGCAGCTCACAAGGCCCCACAGTGTAATTCCCGTAGGTTAGTTGGCTCTTGTCTTACCCCTGAAAAACAAAAAGAGGTCATTGTCCACCCTGAACAGAGACTGTCTAGGGTACCCCAGGCCTCCCTCAGGTCCTGTGGCCTAAAGCGGCTGCGGATCCTTCTCTACCCTCTTCCCAAGTGGAATGTTCAGTGCGATTCTTCCTTTCTTTTTGAAATAGAAAGAGTCCCTGGGCCCCGGGCCAGCCCATGGTTATCAAGGCACATCACCGCCAGCAAGCTGGAGCACCCCCAGGAGCCCCTAGCCTAGATCCCATTCTCAACCCACAGTTTTGACTTTTGTACGAACTCATTTCTGGTTCTCAGAGGTCAGTAGGGAGTTCCATCCCAACTATTTTAAAAACTGTATTTTTTAAATACTGCCTCTTGACCGCTTGACCTGAACTATGGATAACAGTATGCGCCACTCAAGCCCACAGAGAACAAACGGAAGGGCGGAGACCGAGGCCATCTTAGATAATAAAGCACAGAGGAGCCTGGGGAGCTCCTTGTCTGTCCCTGGTTCAGCTCCAGGGCACAGGCAATGTTTGGAAGCCCTTGTCAGCAGCACTGCAGTGGGGGCTGCCACTGTCTCCATCCACAGGCAAAATCCTGCTCCAGGGGATGGAGGAGGAGCATTGGTAGGATCCTACCCAGCCGCGCCCTCAGCACACCTGTTTCTGTTTTAGAATTCACAAAAAAAAAAAAAAAAAAGTTGAGGGAGGGTTTTAACCACAACAAAAAGTGTAGATCTCCCAACTGTAGGAGGGTAGGCTGTCCTGCACCAGTATCTGCATGGGCTCCTGCCCATTATTGGTGGCTCATGCCCCAGGAGTGCCTGCCTGACCCATGAGGGGGGTACTGCCCTCCTGAAGGTCCACTGGAGTCTGGTTGGTGTGGACCACAATAGTCTTCTCATCCACGATCTCACAGGTAGGGTTGGTGAAAGCAGACAAGGGCAGGGTAATTCGCTGCATCTCCCTCTCACACACTTGCTGGTCATGCTGCTCTTTCAGGTCCTTCCCCCTGGGAAGAAAAGAAGGAAGCATTCAGGCTGTGCCTCCTGCATGGCTTTGCTCATTAAATAGCATTGCTGCACCCAGGCAGGGGCGAGGGCTAAGCATGGTCAGAGCGAATCAGTGGCTGATGTATGAGATTTCCATTCTGCCAGACTGCCTTAACAAGAAGCTCCTACACCTCTGGTCTCTGCTTCCTCATCTGTTAAACTAGTGTATAGTAGCATGAACCTCACCACAGCTGCAGACAGGCTCAGTGAAGATAGTGTGACTGAAAGCAAGATACGGTTTTGTTCTTTCAGCCAAGGGCTCCAAGAGACCCAGAGAACCATCTCAGTCCTAACCCATAAAGTTGTGCAGAAAACTTACCTATTCTAAGACAGCTCTCTTATTCTAAAGTCCTTGGAAGGTGTGAGTGCTGGCTGGAAACAAGGACTGTCCCCAGCCCATACAGGGGGCAAAAGGGACTGAGGGCTGCTCTGGTCAATGGAAACAATGAGACAATGACCATCAGATCCCTCCATGTTCAAACATCCTTCGAATTCTCATGGTGCTCAGTGACCCAATCAGGCCCTGGTGTTGCCCCATTTTACTCAAATGGAGTGCTCACTCCATGCTAAGAACTTTGTGTACATTATCTCACTTCATTCTTGGCTGAACCGTTCCTAGGAATTAGGTCTTATCATTCATTTTACAGATGAAGAACTAGCTCAGAGAAGTGAAGGAACTGCCAATAACATAATGGGCTCAAACCCAAGTCTGTTGGACTCCAGCTGATACTTAGAGAAGTTCTGACCTGATCAGTGTCACCCCAAAGAAATGGTGGTACAGGGACTCAAACCCAGTCTTCTGGCTGCACATGTAGGGCCCTTCCTACTGGCCTGGACCATGCCTGTTGCAGGCCAGAGTTTGGTGAGTGCCTAGCATACTACACACCAGAACCAAAACCCAGGACCCAAATCAGCATACTCTGAAGTCACAACTAGCTACATGGGCTCAACTGTCAGAGGAAATCTTCCTAGAAGGAGCCCACCCCAAAGAGGCCTTGAAACCAGCAGCTGATCGATGACTTGGTGAAACAACACAGGCCTACTTCAGACCGCAGGGAGATAGCTGAGATCAGATGGATTACACATCCATCATATGAGGTACAATGACAAACTTCCAGAGACTGAAGGATATTGAGAAAACAGCAGGGCCTGGAGGGGATGGAGTCTGCACAGGTGCCTCAGAACTATCTTTAAATCAACCAGTTCTATTGCATTCTAGTACCAGCTCAGCCTTGGCTGAGTGACACCTGGCGAAACACAGCCTTGCTGAGCCTTGGTTTCCTCATCTGTGAAATGGGGATAATATCTGCCTCAAAATAAGATAATGAATGTGAATGCATTTTGAAAACAGCAGAACTGCTGTAAAACTCACAGAGGAGGTTATTATGATTTGCCCTGAATATGACTTGACTCACCAAGCAATGTTTTCTTAATCTGGTTTCCCAAGGAAACTCCTACTGACCTGCCAAGGCAATTATTGTTTATGTGACCTCAGCAGCTCCCCTCCTTTCTGGACCTTAATTTTACCATTTGTAAAACAAGGACTTGGGCTTGATAACCTCCAGGGCCCCTGACATGCTGTAAGATTCCTCACATGAGATGTGCTCTGATTCCCTATTTTTCACTGTAAGGTCACGGAAGGCAAATTTGTGAGCTCATCTCCCTGAGTCACCCTGGGTGACTGAGTTTCTACATGTGCACGCCTAAGGCGCTTGCCCCATCCTTATCATTAGCCTCTGATACCGCCAACTCCTGCAGCAGAATAACTCCCAGAGCACCCCAAAAGGAAATGGAGGGACATGGGAAGATGGCTGTCTGGCCCAAGTGTATCCCCACTCAGCCTAAGATTCATTTTGCCCTTGGGCACTGCTCATCAGTTACAGCTGCCACCACAGAAGGAAACACCTCCTTCCATAATAAAACAAAAAGCCAGATTCTTCAAGGTTGCCCATGTAAGGAAAAACTTGGAAGGTCTGGATTTAATTTTATTAAGGGAGCCCCAAGCCAGCAGAAGGCCAAAAGGCGATTAACAAAAGAGGTGGAGTATGCAAGTGTCCTTTGCCAAGGCCTGAATTTCAAAATCTAAGGGGCTGGAGGAAGAAGGAAAGCGAGAATTCATAGATCCTGAGTATGTACTAAGATGCCAGGAAATGACCTGCCCATTATCCACGATGAAAAGAGCTACCCATGCACCTACTGGATACCACACCCTTTATATATGTACCTCCTCCACGCCAATTCTGCAAGATAGTATTATCCACTTTTTTTTTTTTTTTAAGATTTTATTTATTTATTTGACAGAGAGAGCACAAGTAGGCAGAGCAGCAGGCAGAGAGAGAGGGAGAAGCAGGCTCTCCTCTGAGCAGGAAGCCCGATGCGGGGCTCGATCCCAGGACCCTGGGATCATGACCTGAGCCGAAGGCAGACGCCTAACCGACTGAGCCACCCAGGTGCCCCTATCCACTTTTTATAGATGAAGAAACTGAGGCTTTGGAGTTGTCCTGCCTTCCTCAGCTACCTTCTTTACCCAGCGTCTGGCTGTGGCCAGCTGTTGATAATGGTCAGGCTACATTGTAAACAAGTCTTTAGGGGAAAAAAAATCAATTCATATTAATGGAGCAGAAGAGGACTGGAAGAACAGCCAAGGGTAAAGGAAGGAGGTGCTGGGATTCATCTGGATTATAGTCTCATCCATTTAGAAGCCTCAAACACACCCAAACCCATGGGCCTCCTGTTATTGGTGCCTAGGAGTGCTGGAGATGCAGAGGCTGTCCCCAGCTCCTTTCAAGATCTGAGAGAGGCCACCAGGCCTGCCGCATTGACCATCAAGCAGCTCAGCCTCTTCCTACTGCCTTGGGGGGGGGGGGGGGGCGGGCAGACTGTTGTCTGGCAGCCAAGAAGGAACAAAAGGCTTATTCACTGACTCAGCTCCTCTCCTAAGGGGGTGGAGTAGTGTTGACTTACAGTTTTTCCCTTGCCTTTTTATCAGAAAATAAACGCTCCCTCCGGATAGCACAGACACTGTGCTTGGGGCAGGGACGGGGAGCTGCAGACTGGCTGGCTGAACCCCGTAGCCTAGACAACCATGACAAAGACCCGACAGGCTGAGCCCTCACCCGCCCTCACCCATCCCCACCTGCGGCCCTACTCCCCTGAGCGGAAGCCTGGTTCCTGCTCGCCCTTCCCAGCCAGGGGAAAGCTCCATCCTATTAGCCTCATGGTCCTTTGCAGAGTTCAAGGGTTACAGTAATTCCATCCATGACTGCTCCAGAGCCATGATCTGGACCTGGGCTGGCCAGCGTCAGCAGGTGTGAATGGAGCTGCTGCCTGCCTCTGACATCCTCTTTGGAGTGATGGAAACACCCCAGACTTCCTTCAGGCAACAAAGGTTACTTCCAATTATTCTCTAATGATTTTCCCAGTTGGAAGTAGTGCTATGCCATACTGCTGCTCAGGAAAAGTTCCTCAAGGCAGCTAAGACTATGAACACAAACCCTATGCCCAACTACACTGTCTAATTTCATCCTCACAACAAACCTATATGGTGTCTATTAGGATCCCTGTTTCAGAGATGGGAAGGCAGATGCAGAGAGGTTAAATCATTTATTTAAGCAAATAGCAGAGCTGGGATTTGAACCCAGTACCGTCTACAGCTACCAGCAGGTAATATTGCCTTTTTAGGAAACATTAGAGCTGAGAGGATCATCACATCTAACCTCCTGCCTTTACACTTTTTACAGATGAGGAAACTCTGAGGAAACCAGAGCAAGTAAATTACTTGTCTAGTGTCACACCCAGAATTGGCAGCAGTTGCAAAATTATATCCTGATTCTTTTGACTTCCAGACCCAGCTATTTTATTTTCAAAGTTTCCATGTTTCCTACTGTCCTTTGCAATTCATAGCAAATTTGCATGATGCTGCTGAGCCTTGCTGGGCTTTTGGGAGATACTGATAATCCTTGGACACCTCTTACTGGCTGTGTAGCTTAGACATGGCACTTAATTCTTCTAGGTCTCAGCAGCTTACTGTAAAACGGTGTAAAAAGTGAACCTTGTAAGTGTGGTCATGAGGCTTGGGCCAGATCATCAGGAAGAGCATTCAGTAAGGCCCTATTTATTTAAAAAGCATGCAATAAATGTTGGCTGCTATTATGATTATCTAACCGGAATGGTGTTCTGCTTATATTTAATACTTATGATAATCTTGGGTGGGTGGGTATGGGTGTATGGAGGGGGATATATCCCCATTCAACAGTCAAGAAACCGAAGTGCAGAGGAACGGCAGAACCTACACTCAACAGCTCTTTCCAGGACACTCTGTTCTCTGACTTTGGAGAGAGATGGGAGCTGAGAGCTTGCCTCTAGCCCACATGTGGTTTCCTGTTATAGTCTGTTCTCAGAGCACTTTTGCTGAGGAAAGGGGTGGTCCGGTGGTTAGTGACAGGGAGTCTGGTGACTTGGTGCCTTGCCCTGAGTTCATAGGACAGTAAATTCTAGGCCTCAGGGCAGTCCTATGACAGCCTAGAGAAGCAAATTTAGAAGAAAAAAAGGCCTGGATTCCTTATTGGGCACAAGAGCTGAGCTTAGAATTAAGAACGTTTAGTCAGTTCAAGCACCTGGAGGCCTGGAAACTGTCACAAGATTGGAGAAGAGCCAACTGCTATCCAGTGGCTGAGGAAGGAGGAAGTATTTCAAGGGCTCAACTCAGCCAACAGGTTTGGGTCTGATTATGAATTGTAGGCCAGGACTACCACATCATTTCCTTTAACTCACAGAAATGAACAAGCAGGTATCCCTGGACCTGCCATGTTAACCATCCCACTGAGGGTAACAGCCTCGGAATGGAAGACAGGAGACCCTCTTGGGTCAATACTTGGCTCTCTCTGAACCTCTGCTTCCTGAATCACAGAAAATCAGATAGGGAACAAGGGCTGTGAGAGTGCTAGTACAGGACTCACATTTTACAGAAAAAAAAAAAAACAAAAAAAACAGCTATCATTTACTGACCACTTACCATGTGCTACACACTGAGCTAAGCTCTGCAGTAGAAAACAGAAGCAACTTGCCCCAAATCACACAGATAGCTAGTTCATGGGAAGACTTAAGACTTGGCTCCACCAAAATGCTAGGTGTGTGACCTTAAGCAAGGTACAAATCCTCTCTTGTCTGTTTCCTAATGTGTAAACTGGGGATAATAACATTTACCTCCTAAGGGTGATTGTAAAAACTGAGTTGAAGCATGCAAATTGCTTGAAGCAGGGTCTGGCATATGGTAAATGTTCACTTTTGCTGCTGCTATTGTTATTCTTAGCCAACACTTCCCCTTTTTCATCTGTAAAATGAGGAGGCTAACTACACAATCTCTAAGGACATGCTAGGTTTATTTAATGCTGGGTGACCCACCGAGGCTGTGAGCTCAGACATAGCCCTTACCGCTAGAAAATGCAAGCCACCTTGTCACTTCTCTTTCAGAAAACCTTCTCAGACCATAGAAGAGAAATATCACAAGCACTCAGGGCTAGAATTCAAATCCCCTGATATTGCCCAGAATGACAAATAATTTTCCCAGAACCAGCCAATGCTGTACAAATTAATGCAACTCTGTCTTATCATCATGCACCCATCATGGACTTTGAGAGCTTTTTCCATATGATATTTCAGGGGGCCTCTCAAAATAAGCATTTCTCCTCCTGTTGTTCCAGCCACAGGTCAGGTCCCTGAGTTTCCCAGGAGCTTCTTTGGCTTTCTCATATGTGGTGATGAGTAGCAAACAGGTTCCAAGTCCTCCAACTCATTTTTTCCTCCTGTTCTGAAGGAGATCCCACTGCTTATGGTCGAGGGAATTCAAGCCCCAAATGCAAAAGGAGTGACTAGGAACCTTTTCTAGTAGGATTTTATTTTATTTTTATGTATTTTATAAAAGGGGGAGGGGCGGAGGGAGAGAAAGAATCTTAAGCAGGCTCCACACCCAGTGAGGCTCAATCTCACAACCCTGAGATCATGACCTGAGCTGAAATCAAGTTGGATGCTTAACCAACTGAGCCACCCAGGCGCCCCTCTAGTAGAATTTTATCACTCACAGAAAGAATGCAATCTCTGGGACCCTGCAATGAGTGTCCAGCCTGATTTCTGCAGCACCACTCACTTCCATACCAGGCATGTTGGATTAGACAGCACAGAATCTGGTATCAAAAGAGCTGGGTTTGAATCTAAGTTTTGCCACTCCCAGGCACTGTGACCTTGGGCAAGTCACTTCACCTCTCTGATGAAAGCATCCTCATCTGTAAAGTGTGAAACAAGAACTCCTACCTCACAAGGCTTTTGGGTGAGGAGTAAAGGCACCAAAGGAAAGGGTGTGTCCAAGGTCACCTGGTAAAGACTAGAACCAAGTCTGTACATGTTAAGCTAGTTCTCCTCTTTCAATACTTCACTTCCTTTTTGGGTATGTATGCCACAAAGAAGTCGGATTCGACTTTATGTACCTTCTTCCCCTCCTCTCAGAGAGCCCAGAAGAGAAGCTACTGACCTCTTGTAGGTATAGCCCAAGACGATGCCAGCTCCGATGGCGATGATGATGACCATCATGGTAATGCCCAGCACATAGCCTGCCAAGGAAAGGACACAAGGTCCCATTAGCCTCACCCCAGATGATCAGAAAATATTTCTTGATGATTTGCACAAGGAGGGGTTGCGGCAGTCATACCAAGGGTTCCCAGGTCTTTTTTCTCCTTGGAGTTCACCCGCACCCGCTGGCTGATCCCAATCACTGGCTGCACTGCTGCTGCCTCACTCCGGGCGGGCAGGGCATTGGCAGGAGCGAACACCTGCACCTCATCTCCACTTGGCACTTCAGACGCCTCCTCAGTTTCTGTTGTGGAGGTTGGAGGGGACCGGGAAGTGGTCTCTGGAGGTAAAGTGTAAAATATGTCTCATTAGAGTGAATTCCACAGCTGAAACTGGCCTGGAGTGTTGGAGGAGGTAAAGGGAAGGGAGTTCACCTTAGGATGCCTATACACACTGAAATCCATCCTTGCCCCAGGGGCAAGACCAGGTCTGAGGGGGCCATGCTACAGCTGGGACAAGGCAAATGTGAGAGGAAGAACGTAAGAAGGAGCCCCTCCTGCCTCCCATGTCTTTATCTGTTCAAATTCTTGCCATCTTCCAAGGCCCGGCTCAGTTGCCCTCTTCTCCAAGGGAAGAGGCCCCCTCTGCGCTAGGAAACAATCCATGAATCCACAGTTTGCCAATCCCTATGTTATATGAGTTACACATCCCATTTAATCTAATTTCAGAGAAAGGTCTCGCCGCCTCGGGAGCAACTAGCCTTCGCTCTGGATCGTAAGAAACTTAGATTCAAATCTGGACCCTGCCATTGCCTTCAATATGTCGCTGAACTTCTCTGAGGTTCAGATCTCCCAAATAGCTTCTTTCCAGGGTCACTGTGAGTAGAGTGCCTAACACACAGCAGACGCTCCACAAATGGCCACTAGACGCTAAGGGACTCGCTAAGGGCGTGGGGCCGGGATTCGAGCCCCGTGAGCTCCCACAGGCTGCGCACCACTCAGGGAGCGCGCGGCCAAGAGGTGCGGCCTCGCCTCCCACAGTTGTTTACAAGGCGCTCGCGGAGGATGAGCTCACTCGGAGAGGCGGCAGCAGCCAATGGGCTTTGGGCCCTGAGGCCTGGAGACAGCCCTGGCCAATCGGACGGCGCGGGGGCGGGGCGGGGCCAGCCGGCGACGCGCGGACGCACGTGCGCTGCGGGTGTCGCGGCCGCTCCCAGGCCTCCCTGGGTGTGGGGGTTTCGGGGTCCTCCGGTCCTCGGAGTCCGGGAGGGTACCTGGGCAGCGCACGTCCTCGCAAGGCCACTTCTCGGGAGCGCCGGCGTCGCCGCTGACGTAGCACCAGGGCCCGCGTGGGTCCTGGTCCGGGTTCCGGCAGTAGCTATGGTTGCCGGCGTCTGGGAGGGGAGAGAAGGCGCCATGGGACGGGGCCAGGACCCAGACCGCGGCCGCCGCCCGCCCGCCGCCGGGGGCAGACACTCACCCGACTCGGGGGCAGACGCCAGGCCGCTCTGCGCCTCCAGCCAGTTGAGGCAGCGCAGGCCCGGGGCTGGGGAGGGCTGGTCCGCCCGGTACAGGTGGCCGTTGTCCCAGAAGCAGTCTGTGAGGAAGAGGAGCCCCCCCGACACTGAGTGGCCGGCAGGGGAGCCGGGCCTACCCCGCTTGGGCGGCCCTGGGCCCGGCTGGGCCTCCCTGACCTCATGTGGAAAACCCCTGCTGCCTTGAAGGGTTGTTGTGAGGCCCGGAAAAAGAAGGAAGAGAAAGCGCGTCTAAAGCCCCTCTGGTGCCCGGCCCTCAGCGCTCAGAGAATAAGCTTTGCTGTTCTTTTTGTAAGCCGGAAAGCACTGCACAAGTGCAAGGGGTTGTTACTCCGGAACTTGTGGCCACTTTGGAGGAGTGTGTGGGGGACGCCTGGGTTCGGGTACCTTTTTGGAGATGTTGGGAGTTTTGGTTCGGTCATCCTTGTCTTGTAATTCCATGTTACATAAGCCGGGGTATTCCTTTCACGGATATGGCCACATTTGCACTGGCAACACTCCCACCCAAGAGAATTCTACAAAAGCCTTGATTCAGTCAGGCAAAAGAGAGCCTCAAACGGAGGGAACCTGCCTCATCCCTGCTTGGATGTGACTCCAATCTCCCACTCCCCTCAGCAGGAGAGCCTGGGGAAGGAGGGCCTGTGCCCTAACCACACCATGCAAAGCCCCTGAAAAGAACAGGACTTAGGGAGTAGGGGAGATGAATCCCAAATTCCATCCACTCATGAGCCACAGGCAAGGAAAAGGACAGAGAAAGTGGCTACTTGCCTTTGTTCTTAATGGCAAATATGGAGCTGCAAGCCCCTGACAGGGAAAGGAGGAAGAAGAAGAAGGGGAAAAAAGGGAAAAGAAAAAAAAGCCTTCATGGGACAAGAGAAACCAGCTAAAAGCTTCATTTCCAGTGATCTTCCTGTCTAGCCTGGCCAATCTTGGGAAACAGCTTTACCCTTTCTACTTCATTAAGTTGCTGCAGGAAGGAAAGATTGTAATCTCACCTCCAGATCCATAGGCTTCTGCTAGGAGCATGTTGCTGATGAGGAATGTTTGCACCCAGGCTAAGAGCATCCTCACCTCCTTCATCTTGCAGGTGATTGACCAACCAGTGTCCAGCCGGGGTCCCCTTAGCGTCGGCTCTGCCTCCCAGTCCCAGCCTTGCAGTCAGACCTGCCCTTGTTATGCTCTTCTGGTAAACAGCCTCTCTTTAGAGCTGGGAGCTTCCCAGCTAGCTTGCTGCAGCGAGGTGTTTTTCGGCTGAAAGGCGCCCCCTGGGTCCTAAGCCTCCTATGCCACGCGAGATCACTAAGCCAAGAGAGGATCTCCGCCCAGAGAAGAGAGAGGCTGAGAAGTTCAGGTTGTGCTTAGCAGAGGATCAGTTTGAGACCTACACTGACTGCATCCCCAGGGCTTTCATCTCTTCTGTTTCCATTTGTGTGAGTACAGAAAAGTAACTGTCAGGAGGCATCATTGTGTGGAGGAAGGTTTGAAATTATAGTCCCAAAGGCAGAACAGCTTAGGACATGCTAATTACACAAGCAGGAGGAACTCAAGACCACATAGGGGGCTCAAATAAGAGTATCCAGGTGGAAGGAACACTTTATATCCATTTCTGAAAAAGAAAAAGGGCCTTTATGGTTTATACGTTTTTATGAACACTGGCTTTTTTTTTTTTAAACAGTATAACTTTGCCAGGATCAGATCAGTCACTTTACTTTGTTTATATTTGGGTTTTGGGGGTGTCATATATAGTAGGAATACAGAAGGGGTCTCTTTAGTTGAAAACACATGTTATGCAAACATTGGGACGTTTGCTCAGCTATATTTAATAGTCTACCCTTTCTACCAGCCCTGAATTCATATAGAGGAAATAAAGTCAAATGTTTGCTTTTTTTCTCCACCCTGTGGAGAAATCCATTCGCAGTGATTTATATCCATCATTAAACCTCACCACATTCATATGACTTAGGCCTTTTGGAGTTAGGCAGAAGGGTCCTCTTCCTGTTTGGCTGACAGTTTGAGTTCCCAGGCAGCCTCAGTAAATGGAGAGACAGAACAGAGTGATTCTCCACTACCTTGTGACTCAGGCAAATCTCAAAATAGAAATAGGAAACTGTTTCGATCTGAGGGCTTGTATCTTTAGGCAGTAATTTAGGGAGAAGAAAAAAACTTAGCACTAAATTTCAAAAGCTTTATCAAGGAAGAAAGCTAATGTCAATCCAACCAATCTGAAGTGAATTTGAATTTACTACAGTCAGATTTCAGACATGGAAAGGACAGAGATAAATTTAGTTTACTTTTACAGAAGTTTGCTGACTGTGTTTGATTCCTTCAGTCCATTTAATAAGATGTGTTGCTTTGTTTATGTGATCATGCTTCTGTCTCCCCACAAAAGCTTCTGATCCCCTGACTCCTGGACTTGACCTATGCTGGATATTACACAGAATCTGTAAATTTACTCACATATACATATACACAGATATGCCAAAATTTAGTAATTTAATAATTCTAATATAGTATTCAGGGGTCTTTTTTAAACACTTTTATTAATTTTACAATTTTTTTGAGAACTTACTACATACTAGATATAGTTCTGGATACTGAGAATGTATCTGTGAAGAAGGGATGCCTCGGTGGCTCAGTCAGTTAAGCATCTGCCTTCGTCTGCTAAGGTCATGATCCCAGGGTCCTGGGATCGAGTCCGGCATCATGCTCCCTGCTCAGTGGGGAGTCTGCTTCTCCCTCTGTCTCTGCCTGCCACTCCCCTTGCTTGTGTGCTCTCTCTCTCTGTGTCAAATAAATTTAAAAATCTTAAAAAAAAAAAAAATACTTGAAATCTCTGCCCTTATGAAGCTTATATTCTAGTTGGGAAAGATAAATGATAAATATGTAAAGTGTCAGGTGGTCTTAAGTGTTATGAAAAACAAAGTGAAATGGTCAGGGAGAGAGTAATGGGGTATACTTCATTATTTAAAGAAAGCTTACATTATTTTCAGGGAATTAGGATATTTATACAGGCAGAAGGCTGAAGGGGAAGGGTTCTTTGCACAATTTTCCTTGAGGGTCCTAAATACTCTTACACCACTGCAAGAGAAATATGATGTACATTTTGTTTCATTACATAAATTATATAGGCTTGAGAAAATGAGAATGCAGTTTTTAATTTCAGAGTAGCAGGGAGTTCTTTTGGATTGCTTCCTCAGCATCTAATCTGTTGCCTTTGTATGCAGTGAGTGTTCAGTTATTATCTGATGAAATGCTCCTCAGACTCTGAAGGGCTACTTCTGCCAGATTATAATACTTTCCCCTCTGATTATAATAGAGACAGGCTATACATAGGCCAGCACTTGTACTATTTTCAGATTATTTACTGTGCCCATGTAGGGATGCCAGTATTTCTTCCTCAGAATCCCAAACTTCGTTACCTGTTGCTATTATCTAAGTTTTCTATTCAGAAAACTGCTATCTTCTGTAACTTACCTTGATGTACAGGGAAACCATATTTTGTGCCATGTGTCTTATCAGGAACAGCACTACCTAGAAAAGATATAAGACAGGCTAGAGAAGATTTTTTTCAGCTTAGTCATCTCTGCTTTTTCTTGCCTGTAAGACATTTATCTGCATGATTTGATTTTTTCTAGAATGACGGGCTTGTTTCTCAGTCCTTCAAAGGCGTATTCTATTATAATAAGTTCAGTACCTTCCTTCCTCAAGGAAATTGGATTTAGTTCAGAGATGTGCCTTTCATCATCATTGATGATGTTTTGGTGTTTTTCTTATAATCTAGTTTTGAACTTTGCTTCATGTATTGGTGTAATATGGCCATATTTCATGGCCTACAGTTACTCCAAATTCCGTATTTCTTCTGGAAATATTACTACAATAGTAATATGATACAGCACTACTCATATACTCATTTTGGATTGTATATATCCCTGAAGACAACGTTGTGAAATATAATACTCATAATTTACTAAATATTTCAGGGATGTTTGACTCTCAATTTTATATTAAATCATTACTGATCCAGAGAGACAAAGCCATACTGTTACCTCAGGAAATAACCTCTAGAACATTTCCCAAGGAAGATGGGCAGTTCATTTTGATAATAGGGAATGTTAGTGGAAGAGCTCTGATAAGGAAGCCATAAAGATGTTAAAAGACTTAAGGATCTTTTTTGTCAGCAAAAGAGGGCTAACGTGTTGGTAAAAATCTTTGGAGTAATATCTAATGAGTTGGCTCTAGCTATTCTCTCCATATAATGTGTTGTAGAAGTAGCTGCTGAGATTTTGCTGAAAGATATTTGGGTGTATAATTGCAAACTGAGCAGAGGATGACTTTATGAAGATTGTTAAGGAAATAATATTCCAATATCTAAACCCCAAGACCATTTTCTTTGAAAGTATGGCCTTCAATGAGTTAGGTTATTTGCATTTTTTTTTTTTAAGATTTTATTTATTTATTTGACAGAGACAGAGATAGCGAGAGCAGGAACACAAGCAGCAGGAGTGGGAGAGGGAGAAGCAGGCTTCCCCTCGAGGAGGGAGCCCTATATGGGATTTGATCCCAGGACCCTGGGATCATGACCTGAGCCGAAGGCAGACGCTTAACGACTGAGCCACCCAGGCGCCCAGTTATTTGCATTTTGATACACAGTTAAGTGTTTAGTAAATGTTTGAGATAAAAAGGGAAAAGCAGAGTACCACATAAAGACAAAGAGTCTAATAAGCCTACAGAGAATAGTAATTTTTTTTTTAAAGATTTATTTATTTGAGAGAGAGAATGAGAGAGAGAGAGCACGAGAGGGGGGAGGGTCAGAGGGAGAAGCAGGCGCCCCGCCAAGCAGGGAGCCCGATGCGGGACTCGATCCAGGGACTCCAGGATCATGACCTGAGCCGAAGGCAGTCGCCCAACCAACTGAGCCACCCAGGCGCCCAAGAATAGTAATTTTTTAAGGGTAAACAATAAAACAGCCAAGAGGGCTTGTGGATCATTGTTAAGAGTAAACAGTAAAACAGCCAAGAGGTGACTTTCAGAAACAAGACATTCTACACTGAGGAACTGAGGATCCACAAAAGCAGAGAACTTGGGAATATCACATAACTGGTTTTGAGAAATAAGGGGAAGAGTAAATTTCTGAATGAGAGTAGATTTTTACTCAGAGGCCAGTCTTAGAAAACATGGGTTTTCACATTGAGGAAAACACAGTTTTCAGTGTTGCAGGGATAACACTAGAGACTATATAAACTTAATTGGCTTGTAAGGCTAGGCTGTTGATATTTAAGGTAAATTAACCCAATAAGCTATAAGGATGCCTCTTTGGGAAAGGAATGTAATATTCTTCAATCTCAGTAAGCCGGAGCTGAAGCTTTTAAAATTTATCAACACCCAGTATGAGCTTTAGTGTTGACATTTAAAGCAAGAGGAGCTGTATGCCAAATAATTAAGAGTGTAGGCTTTAGAAAGACCTGGGTTCCAGTCTTAGCACTACGGTATGGTCTTGGGTAAATTACTTAGCATCTGTAATTCTCAGTTTCCTCAGCCTGTTCTTGCTGTGGTTAAGAATACAGGTACCAGTATCAGAACTCAAATCCCAGCTCTCATTTACTAGCTATATCATCTTAGGGAAGCTACTGAATTCTCTATGACTCAGTTTCCTCAAATGGAGGTTGAGAGAGATAAAAATAGTACCTACACCATTGGATTGTTGATGTTCACTCAGCCCTGAATAAATATTAACTGTATCAGTCTTTGTGTCAGCAACCTCTAACTTTGAAGTACTCAGTATATTTGCTATCTTCCAGGAACCTAGAATCTGGTTATAAAGATCAAGCTAACACATATGAAAATGAAAATATTATACGGCATTTATAAGTAGGTGTTAAACAGTGTGATGCAGACAATAAAGGCTTATTGATTCAGTGATTATTAAACATCCACTGCATACCAGGCAGGCACTAAGCTGAGTTCTGAGGATACAACAGTGAACTCTGCAAGGTCCTTGTTCTCAAGAAGCTCATTATTTTGTGATAGAGCAGATAGTAGTAGGCAAAACTACAGTAAAATGAATGCTACAGTGGAGATTAGTACTGGGGGCCGTGGGAATGCACAGGGGGTGCTTATGGCCTAGTTTTAGGAGGTTAGAAAAGGCTTATCAGAAAAAGTAAAATCTGAATGGGGAAGGAGTTAGTGTTCTTGGCAGGTCAGACAATGTGCAGAAGCCTGGAAACGTAGGCTATCACTATGCTAGTGGGGCATTCAAGGTGGTGATTAAAATGAGGCCAAAAAACATGCAGCCAAAGAGGTGTATACTTGCTGACCAGATTATGGAGGTTCCTGAGTGTAGACTTTATCCTGAAGGCAGTGAGGAATCAGTAAAAGTTTTAAGCAAGAGAGTGACATGTTTTAGCAAAATCACTCAGGCTGCAGGGTAGAG